GAGTTCTTGTTATAATAAGGTTAGGTAAGTTTTCTAAGATTCTTTTGGTGCAAAATTAAAATTCTTTACATTGACATTAATGAAAAAAAATTATCTTTAAACGTATAAGATAAAATTTCGGAAAGGACTTACTTTTAAATGAGTTCTTGCTGATTGACCAGTTTTACGTATTGGGCACGACATATATATATATATATATATATATAAAATATATATATATATATATATATATATATTTTATATAAAATATATATAAATATATATATAGGTTTTTCTCCTTTTTCTAAATAGCTCTTGTCCTTCTTTATTTCTTCTAATTGTCCATGGGGAAGTGGAAAAGAATCTTTCCTCCGTAGCCATGCGTGTCGTATGAGGCGACTAAAAGCCGGAAGCAAGGGGCTAGTAACCCTTCTCCTGTAGACATTTACTAAAAAAGAGAAGAAAAACTTATAAAACTGGGATGCTTAAATGTGCGTGGATGTAGTGCGGATGACAAGAAACAGATGATTGCTGAGTTATGAATGAAAAGAAGTTTGGATGTCCTGGCCCTAAGCGAAACAAAGCTGAAGGGGGTAGGAGAGTTTCAGTGGGGGGAAATAAATGGATTAAATCTGGAGTATCTGAGAGAGTTAGAGCAAAGGAAGGGGTAGCAGTAATGTTAAATGATCAGTTATGGAAGGAGAAAAGAGAATATGAATGTGTAAATTCAAGAATTATGTGGATTAAAGTAAAGGTTGGATGCGAGAAGTGGGTCATAATAAGCGTGTATGCACCTGGAGAAGAGAGGAATGCAGAGGAGAGAGAGAGATTTTGGAGAGTGTTAAGTGAATGTATAGGAGCCTTTGAACCAAGTGAGAGAGTAATTGTGGTAGGGGACCTGAATGCTAAAGTAGGAGAAACTTTTAGAGAGGGTGTGGTAGGTAAGTTTGGGGTGCCAGATGTAAATGATAATGGGAGCCCTTTGATTGAACTTTGTATAGAAAGGGGTTTAGTTATAGGTAATACATATTTTAAGAAAAAGAGGATAAATAAGTATACAAGATATGATGTAGGGCGAAATGACAGTAGTTTGTTGGATTATGTATTGGTCGATAAAAGACTGTTGAGTAGACTTCAGGATGTACATGTTTATAGAGGGGCCATAGATATATCAGATCACTTTCTAGTTGTAGCTACACTGAGAGTAAAAAGGTAGATGGGATACAAGGAGAATACAAGCATCAGGGAAGAGAGAGGTGAAGGTTTATAAACTAAAAGAGGAGGCAGTTAGGTAAGATATAAACAGCTATTGGAGGATAGATGGGCTAATGAGAGCATAGGCAATGGGGTCGAAGAGGTATGGGTAGGTTTATAAATGTAGTGTTAGAGTGTTCAGCAGAAGTTTGTGGTTACAGGAAAGTGGGTGCAGGAGGGAAGAGGAGCGATTGGTGGAATGATGATGTAAAGAGAGTAGTAAGGGAGAAAAAGTTAGCATATGAGAAGTTTTTACAAAGTAGAGAAGTGATGCAAGGAGGGAAGAGTATATGGAGAAAAAGGGAGAGGTTAAGAGAGTGGTGAAGCAATGTAAAAAGAGAGCAAATGAGAGAGTGGGTGAGATGTTATCAACAAATTTTGTTGAAATAAGAAAAAGTTTTGGAGTGAGATTAACAAGTTAAGAAAGCCTAGAGAACAAATGGATTTGTCAGTTAAAAATAGGAGAGGAGAGTTTATAAATGGAGAGTTAGAGGTATTGGGAGGATGGAGGGAATATTTTGAGGAATTGTTAAATGTTGATGAAGATAGGGAAGCTGTGATTTCGTGTATAGGGCAAGGAGGAATAACATCTTGTAGGGGTGAGGAAGAGCAGTTGTGAGTGTGGGGGAAGTTCGTGAGGCAGTAGGTAAAATGAAAGGGGTAAGGCAGCCGGGATTGATGGATAAAGATAGAAATGTTAAAAGCAGGTGGGGATATAGTTTTGGAGTGGTTGGTGCAATTATTTAATAAATGTATGGAAGAGCGTAAGGTAATTAGGATTGGCAGAGAGCATGGGATAGTTCCCTTTTTATAAAGGCAAAGGGATAAAAGAGAGTGCAAAAAAATTTTAGGGGGATAAGTCTGTTGAGTATACCTGGTAAAGTGTATGGTAGAGTTAAATTGAAAGAATTAAGGTAAGACGGAGAATAAAGGGTAGCAGATGAACAGGAGGCTTTAGGAAAGGTAGGGGGTGTGTGGACCAGGTGTTTACAGTGAAACATATAAGTGAACATATTTAGATAAGGCTAAAGAGGTCTTTGTGGCATTTATGGATTTGAAAAGGCGTATGACAGGGTGGATAGGGAGGCAATGTGGGAGATGTTGCAAGTGTATGGGTAGGGAGGTAGGTTTTCTGAAAGCAGTGAAAAGTTTTTTAAAGAGGATAGTGAGGCTCAAGTTAGAGTAAAGTAGGAAAGAGGGAAATTTTTTCCCAGTAAAGTAGGCCTTAGACAAGGATGTGTGATGTCACCATGGTTGTTTAATTATTTTAGATGGGGTTGTAAGAGAAGAAAATCGAGGGTCTTGGAAAAAGGGGCGTGGGAGTTAAAAGAAAATTTCACACCAAAGTGGGAGTTGCACAGCGCTCTTCTGATGACACTGTGCTCTTGGGAATTCTAAGAGAAGTTGAGAGATTGGTGGATAAATTTGGTAGGGTGTCCAAAAGAAAAAAAATAAAGGTGAATACGGAAAGAGAAAGGTTTTATAGGAAAACAAAAAGATTAGGTGATGAAAGATTGGATATCAGATTGGAGGGAGAGAGAAATGGAGGAGGTAAAGTTTCAGATATTTGGGGGGTACGGTAGTGATGGGTCTTAAAAGATGGGTAAATTTAAAATTGGAGGGAAAAAAGTAAGTGGTGCACTTGGAGTCTGTGGAGACAAAGAACTTTGTCCTTGGAGGAAAAAGGGGGGAATGTATGAGGTATAGTTTTCCAACGTCTTATTGGGTGTGAAGCGGGGTGAAAAATGTTGCAGCGGGGAGAAGCGGGGGAGGGGAGAGTATGTCTGGGGCAATGTTGGTGTGAATATAAGCAGAGAATTCGTATTTTTGGAAATTTGGGAGGGGTCGGGATTACCAAAACGTTGCCAGAGGGTGGGGAAGGGTTGTTGGGGTGGTTCGGACTTAGAGAAAATGGAGCGAAACAGAATATTCAAGAGGTATCAGTCTGTAGGGGAAGGAAGGCGGGGTAGGGGGGGCCTAGGAAAGGTTGGAGGGGGGGGGAAAAGGGAGGTTATGTGTGCGAGGGGCTTGGACTTCCAGCGGCGCTGGGGTGTTTGATAGGAGTAATGGAGAAAAAGGTTTTTAAAACTTGACGTGCGTTGGAGTGTGAGCAAAAAACATTTATGAAGGGGGTTTAGGGAAACCGGGAGGGGGATTGAGCCTGGAGATGGGAAGTCCCCGTGCCTGCCTCTGAAAGGGGGGGTGTTAATGTTGCAGTTTAAAAACTGTAGTGTAAAGCCCTTTGGCAAGAAGTGATGGGTGAATGATGGTGAAAGTTTTTTCTTTTTCGGGCCCCCCTGCCTTGGGGGGGAAAAGGCCCGTGTGATAATTAAAATATATTAAAAAAATATATATATGTGGTGCCGAATAGGAAACTGGTAATTAGCGAACTCTTTTAAAAATTTAAATCCTTTTAATTTTTTCCCCTTTACACAAATAACCGCACAGAAAGAGAAGTTACGACGGAGTTTCGGTCCAACTTTTACCGAAAAGTCGTATCTTTTTTTTTATGTGCGGGTTTTTTGTGTATCGTTTTTGTCACGGTTTTGTGCCCTTTTTTTTTATTTTTCTTATACTTTAAGATATTTTTTTCATTTTTGTAAAAAATAAAAAAAAAAGATTTTTCACCAAAAGAACCCTTTAAAGGAACTTTATTGACCTTACTTGACAAGTGTAATTTAATTTAGCCTAATCCAACAAAAAATATTTAATAAAAGTTTTCAAAAAAGTAATAGAATATACTCAACGAAAATATATTTTTTCGTTAGAATCAGAATGATTTTTGCTAAATTATTGCATGCACAAATTCTCGCTTGCTCTATTCGGCAAGAAGTGCATTGCTGATTAAGCCAAAATCGCACGTTTTACGTATTCGGCGGGGCCAGGAGCTATGAATCGACCCCTGAAACCACAAATAGGTGAGTACACACACACACACACACGCACACACACGCACACACACACACACACACACACACACACACACACACACACACACACACACACACATACACACATTACATACACACATACGCACACACACACACACACGCACACATACACACACATACACACATACATCAATGTACAACGCGCAACCGGATTTCCCTAGGCATTAGAAATGGTAGGGGATGGTGGTCTGTAATGGTGGTAAGTGACTGTGATGGTAGATCATACAAGTAAGCAACAATTACAGCGTTTGCCAAGAAAAACTATTATTTTCAAAAAAAAAAAAAATAAAATAAAAACGTTTGATAGCTTTGGAGGTGTCAAAAACACAATCCTGTTTTTTTTTTTCCAAAACATTACTCACACCGTAGGTTTGCAATTATGCGTTTAGCTCCCATTTTCAGGCACATAATCGCTGCATAGCATGAGTGCATAATGAGTGCCGAACTTTCCTGAAAACCTTGAGTTATTTCTTCGAATTCTGCCAGAATGTTCAATGCTGCATTCATCAGATAGTGTATCAAGGACCTTCATTGATAATAAATCTGCAAAAAAACATTGAATTCCCAACAATTCAAGATTCACTTCCTGTACAGCTGAACTATTTTAATTATTTGTTTTTCGAACTTTAAGAGCCTTTGCATGTCTGGTTAAATTAGGTATTTTTCAAAGAGAGTTAAAGGAAGCAGTTGTATAAACAACAATTAAAATTAAGGAAGGAGTATATATATTTAAATAAAGGAATTGTGATGTATATAATCGACTACAACAGGAAGGTCAAGTACTTGTCTCATGTTCCTCCCTTTTCTGGTGACCAGGTATGGAGGAGACACTGAGGGTGGCAGGGGCAGGAGTGGCGGCTGTATCATCCAGAGTATCACGGTCTTCTTGCTCCGTCATTCTCCTCACAGATGGCACCACTTCCCCCAACACTGTCTTCACGGTCAGTCAACATTATTAACACCTGATACACCTCGTTTACATATATAAATTTATTGTTTAATGAATTGGTGTTTATAATTTTTGTGTGTTTAAATGAGTCACAAAATCAGCCACACGGGTGGCACTATTTACTCCGCCATCAGTTTTATTAAATATTGTCTTGCATTTTTTTTTATTTCATGATTAGATATAAGACACATCAGAAAAATGTTGTTTTTAACTGGAGTGGATACGCTGCTCAGGTACGCCAGCGATTGTTAATCTGCTGAGCGAATCAACACATGAGTAACAGCCACGTCAGGACTCATTTGTCACTGCAGGAACTGGAAGGACTGGGAGGGTCCTGGGGGATGACGGTGTTCGAGGTGGTAGCAGATATCCACAGTCCCAACCTGACGGAGGCGCAGCTGTCACTGATGGTCGCCCAGGCTCTCAAGGTAGGTCAATAGTAAAGCAGGTAGGTCACTAGTGAAGTAGTAGGTCACTAGTAAAGCAGGAAAGTAGGTCACTAGTAAAGCAGGAAAGTAGGTCACTAGTGAAACAGATAATACACTAGTGAAGCAGTTAAGTCCCTTTTGCCTTTATACAAAGGAGCTATGCATGCTCTCTGCCAATCCCTACGTAGATTATTCTCTTCCATACATTTATTAAATATAAGCACTAACCACACCAAAACTATATTCCCTCCTGGTTTTAACATTTTTGTCTATCCCATTAATCCCAGCTGCTTTACCCCTTTTCATTCTACCCACTGCTTCACGCACTTACCCTACACTCGGCCATTTATAATTGATAGTATTAGAAGCCACCTTAATTAACGAACATAAACTGATTAATGAATCTTAGCAAGGGTTCATGTGAGGTCGTTCCTGACTGACAAATTTACTGACATTCTTCATTAACCCATTTGAGGCAGTTGATAATGAACAATAAACATATGATGCTGTTTATTAGGATTTCAGTAAAGCCTTAGAGTACCTCAGAAAAGACTTGAGAAAAGTGGCAGCTCATGGTACAGGAAATAAAATTCTAATTTGGATCAAGGCATGGCTGATCAATAGGCAGGAAAGCGTTTGCATTAATGGGGTCAGGTCTGAATGGGGACGAGTCACATGGAGCATTCCACAAGGATCAATTTTAAGCCCATTTTTCACGAAGGCATAACGAGTGACGTGAGTAAATGCACTGATAACACAAAAATAGGCCGAATAATATATTCTGAGGACAATGAATCTCAGGAGGATTTGGAAAAAATAATGTCATGGTCTGGAAAGTGGCAGATGCAGTTCAATGTGGATAAGTGTTGTGCTAATCCTTGGGAATGAAAATAACTCATGGTTATAAACTAGGTAATGTAAACATTAATGAGAAGAAGAGGAAATTATCAGTAGTTAGCCACTTCACGAATTTTCCGGCATTGTGAAACATGGCTAACATTCCTGATGGCTACTTAACGAATTTAAAATCTAAATTTCGCAGGTAAGGCGGCTTTTTGTATTTATTATATATCTTAGTCTAAGCATATTAACTTGAAATTTATATATGAAATTGCAGTGAAATCTTCATTGTCATTTCCAGACACTTGGTTACTACTAATAATAGCACTGTAAATACAGAATATAGTAATATAGCATCTATTGAACTAGGTTTAAATTATCTCGGCTTTTGACCTTAACAATCTAAAATTGATTGTAATATAACGCTTCTAAGTACGGCCTTTGTATATGGTCCAATTATCATCTGTTTGACAATGAGCTTACATACTTATTTTTTTTTAGATAACTGATTCGTTTAAAATATTTTTTTTGCAATGTTTTAAGAACATTTTCAAAGAACAAATTTACATTACCTACAATAGCTTGCACAATCCCTAAGCACAAACAATACATACTCGTAAAGCTCCCTTTTTATGAAATTTTACTTGTAAATTCTTAAAGACTTTCGAAAAACATTAAAGAAGTACTGTTCACAAATCAAATTTTTCTTCTTAATAAAAATAATAATATTGGAACATTTCTGAAGAGTTTGCATCTTCTGCCTTTCGAACTAAAGTCCAGTGTTGGAACTGTAATACCTGATACGTCGGGAGTACCACCTAACTTCCAACACAGTATTTCAAACCATTTAGGTAGATCATTGCGCACTGACCTTCCTTTATTTACAGCATCTAATTCTACAGTCAGAGATCACTGTCATTTTAATTGCCGTCGCCTCATATTTAAGGTTTTCAGTTTTCAAAGCAACATGGAAGAGACTGAACGTTTTAATCTCAGAGTCCAGTTGGCTTCTTGCTCTAGACCCATTTTCTTCTTAGGCGACGAAATTTCCTACTGATAGATTCCAGATACTTTTTTAATGAAACGTTATGGAGTCTGACGACGCGTTGGTGATAATTGATAAGTCACTAATGTAATAGTCGCTAGGTCATTACTATATATTTAATGCATTTTTTATATTGTTTAAATATTATGCCCTCATTTTTCTGGCACTTGGCAATGGTCTCCCTGACGCCATTTACCGTATTCTAGCTAGAGTCGTTCCCCCTCAACGAATCTACCTGGACTTCCTACTCATTTCTGCAACATTGCTGTTTTAAAACTCATTTAAAATTAAATCCTTTCTAAAAAAAAATCTTATACTTTTAAAGATATTTTTTTCATTTATGTTAATGTAAAAATTCATAGTTTTGTACCAAAAGAATCTTCGAAAACTTACCTAACCTTATTATAAGAAGCGCAGTTTAATTTAGCCTAATCCAACTAAATATATTTTCGATAAGTTTACAATAATTTAATAATAAATAAACACAATAAAATATATTGTTTTGTTAGGTTCAGAATGATTTTTGAGAAATTATTGCATACACAAATTTCTCTTACCTTATTCAGCAACAAGAGCGTTGCTATTTAAGCCAAAATTGAAAGTTTTACCTATCTGACACGACATTATATGTATATATATATATATATAATATATATATATATATATATATATATATATATATATATATATATATATATATATATATATATATATATATTTGCATCCACGAACAAGTGGTATTGAATACCAGTAACAACACCGCCTCATGGTGAGAGAAAACCACATGACGTTCTAACCCACAGCATGGGTTCGAGTTCTTGGCTAGTAGCAATGTTGTTATTGATCAATACTACTTGTTCGTGGTTACAATAATATAAAATACTGCTGGTTGAGGCTAGTACACCAAACGGGGAGTACTATGAAATTATCTTAAGAGGCACCCACACCACCGTCTGTCCTCAGATCACCACACAACACCTAGCTCTGCTGGGTGCATGATCTTTGTAGGATTGTATGGTCCAGTGGCTTAGAGCGTCATGAATTTTTGTTCACCAAGAGGCGGGCTAAAATAAAGCGGGTTCGATCCCCCAGCTAGTCACAGTGATGATATTGATTAAATACCACTTGTTCGTGGTATTTAATCCCGAGGATTAAGGCGTCATGAGTTTTCGCCCGCTATTAGGCAGGCTAAAGCAGAATGGGTTCGACTCCTTGACTAGTCACAGTACTGTTATTGATCAATACCACTCGTTCGCCGGTACAATAATATATATATATATATATATATATATATATATATATATATATATATATATATATATATATATATATATATATATATATATATATATGTGTGTGTGTGTGTGTGTGTGTAATGTCTTTAACTGTGACTTTTATATAAAATGAGTGTCATGGCTAAACATTTTGTTGTTTAGGCATTCCCAGGTGTGAGGCAGGCCACATAACTTTCCGGTGTTATATCAACAGGTGCGGCAGATGTCGTGGTGTGTGACGGTGATGGTGGTGAGTGATGACTCCACTTTCTTGGCAGCTTCTGCCAAGTGGGCTCTCAAGGGCCGCCTCCTCTTGTGGTCCACTCGGTTTCTGGCCATCACTCGCCTACCACTCTCAGACCTCCGTCACCTCTATACCTCTTTCTCCATGATGAACGCCATGTTGCTCATTCTGGATGCCTCCTCCAGGTAATGACCTGCCGATTCACAAGGTGTTGTGAATAGCCCTAGGAACACCGTTTTCTATTAATTTTACTCTACGGAATTTCCGTGTACTGGCTATTACAACATTGACTAGGAAAGAATGATTGTCTTACACAGTAGTCAGAACACTTTTTGGACCTCCAGTTTAGTCCATCATGGAGTGTGTGTTATATCTCTGGAATGCAAATTTTTTCCTCGTATGGCTGTCAACAGGTGTCGGATGTACATACACGTGCCGTACAGCAGTCAGGTGTTACAAGTCGCCCAGTGGCTGCCCCAGCGAGGTCTCACCCTTTCATCTCGCCTCCCGCTATTCCCGGAAAAATTCTACAGGTAATTCTTGCCCATTAATTATAATACTATTACAATTTCAACAATGTATGCTTCAGATACACTCTCGGCAACTAAATTATTTGAAGTTTGAGCTTTTCTTGTTGAATAGCAGGCTACTACTTTCTTAAGATTTAAACTGAACTCTGCAAAATAGTATCTGCTACGTTAATTCAGACAAGTGAGACCGACTAATCTGTTGCTCTTCCTGGGTCAATTTGCATTTGACACCCCTCTTTTCCAAGATAACAAATCAGCTGTTGTTTCTAACCGTGTCCCAACCATAGTACAACGGCTACCAAATTCACATTTGTATTAGTAGAAGCAACCATACATACGAGCGCACTATGCCAGTTGTTTCCTGCAGAACCTCCGCTATAGGGACAACGACAACCTACATTAGTAAACTATACAGCAGCGTTCGCCAGCGGCTATCTTCATGTGTTCAACACCACTTGCAATACAATATAATAATTCTAGTATGTAGCGAGCATCACTCTATTACTTATTATTGTACCTACTACATACATAGAACACTTAACTCGGATATAAACCTTCCCCTCAAACGTCTCCTTACCAACCTCAACCGAACACATGACCATAACACAAGGCACAGATCACTCTTTGATATTCCTCGTGACCATCTCACACTATGCAAAAACTCAATGTACATAAAAGGCCCAAAAATCTGGAATTCACTACCTGTGAATATAAAAGAAACACTGTTTATAAATTCAAGTCTCTTCTTAAAAATCACTTATTCACCCACAACCAAATAAATACTGAATAATTGTATCTCATAATTGTTCAACCTGTGACCCAATCAAACTTTGTTATTTTTAACTACATTATCTAACAGAATACTCCATTCTACTGAATGCACAGCAACACAGTATATGACCTTATGACCTGTCTTCGAAATACTCATTTGTCCTTAATTGTTAACTGTTTACAACAATGTTTACCACTGAATATATCATTGCTTAGTTAATCTTAAGTTAATTTTAAGCCTGCCCATAATACTATGCATACAAGGGGCTTTGGCATGCTACACTTAACCACGGTATTTCCTTGTACTTCTATGTATCATGTTCAAATAAATAAATAAATAAATAAATAAATCTTGGTACACTGACGTAAGATTCCCTTAACATTCACTTGTATATTTTTTTTAATTTTTAATTTTCTTAATTCCCAGTAAAACGTTACAAGAGATACGACATTTCAGAAGTTCCTCCAAACAGCAAATATCCCCCACCTCTCTTTGAGTTCTTGAAGACTACACGTATGTTAAATCTTTTTAGGGTATTCTGCGAAAAATAGATTATCGTTGTACAGGTGAACTAACATATTCCTCACTTGTGAGGTTATCCAAGGCTCAGTTCTATAATAAATCCTCCTAACTGCTATCAGGACAATCATTTCCACAAACTCCTCAGTGTACCGTTGTCTCCTGGTGATTTCAAAGATTTTCAGAAATTTCTTATCAAGAATCTCGGAGCTACATATTCGCATGGCTCTCAGGTCACTGTAAGGAATTCACTCCTTTTTACTTTGGTTTCCTGGTTGAAGAAGTAATGTATATAGGAACAAATATTGGTTACTTTCCTATATACTGTGAACTTGAAATTTCTATTATCTCGGTGGATGACAACTTCCACCACGGGAAGTTTGTAATTCATTTCCTTTTCAACAGTGAACCTCATAGGTTCACTGGATCATTTCTTATTTCCTAGATATCACATTAAAAAACGAATAAAATGAATGTGGTAGTGATTATAGGCAAGGTGGCTTACAACAGAAAAATGCATCTTTTATCAGAGGACAGAGAAACTTACGCTCCAGTTGATATGACCCCCCCCCCTCCCCTCGACAGTAAGATTAAAAAATTTTAAAACGCTACGTAAAATTAATGATGAACTGATTAAACAGTCGTCAGCTAGATCTGTGACTTCACCTGATATGTATGGCTGGATTAAAACTCATAAACCAGGATTTCCAGCTGGACCGATTATTAGTTCCATTGGGTCCAAAACATATAATCTGTCTTGGTACAGATCGAAAAGTACCCAGACATTGGAATAATAATATCCAAGTTATGACAACACACTTGCCTGAGGCCTTCACTGGCATTCCTCTGCTGCTCTTGTTAAACAACATCAAATTGTTCCTCAACAAGAAGTGCCGACGTAACCGGATTCTCAGCTCATACCATAAGTCATAAAAAAAATATATATTTATATATATAGTTGGCTCCAGTATAAGAAACACATTTTGGATAGTGACCCCCTCCAACTGAATGACATCGTTTTCTGGGCAACGTAACATGCAAGTTGTCAAAAAGCACCTCCAGTGGATAAAGGAGTGACGGTAACTTACCTGCTTCCCCTTTTTTTCCAAGATAATGCGATGACAATAGCCATGGTTTGCTGTTCATTGGACATGGTTAGGACAGTTGTTCAGTTTCTTAATCCAGGACAGTGTGCATCTTACCGAGTGACTAGCCACTTTAGGCGCAGGCTAAGCAAATCCAATGGAACTGGCCTGCAACTCGTGCTGAGGCTCAATTTCCAGTCATGTTTGGTGTCTTGTACATGGAAATGGCAGTTCTCCAGATACTTGCAAATCTTCTAGATCAAAGCCAGTGGATGGGGACATTTTGTCAGGCTTGATCACTTTGGGAAAAACAGATTCATCAATAAAAGCATCCCTTATGACACTTAAATTGCTCATCAGATCACAGGCAACAGTCTCCATGTTCTTCTGAAGCAGACCTATAAGTAGTACTGCAAATATTTATTAGAAGGCAGCAGCACAGACGTTATGTTGCTGGAAAAGTGTTGTACAAAAATGCCCGAGGCATATCCCCAGTTTCCATTCTAATACATCATCGTGTGGCTGGAATAAGCTCTAATGCTTTACGTGAGAGCGACACGAGAACAACACTTCCAGCTTTATGTGAAGGGCTCGACCAAGATGGGCCCTTGCTGCTTTGCCTTGGGACACACTCTAAATGAAAGATGTATTTCGGTTCACTCGCTTGATATGGTTTCACTGAGAAAGGGTCATCCTAACGTCTAGGAAAATCTCCCCTTCCCCCTCTCCCTCACAGGCACTTCCCCTTGATGATGATGATGATAATAACGCTTTCTCTTCCATGGCTATTGACCAGGTCTATGAGAAGATAATGCAGCAGCTCTGCATCGCTGGATGGTATTGGGCCCTGAAGTGGCTTGTTTAATTCAAGAGTTTGAAAATTCAAGTGATAACAGATAAGACTTGGATGGGCGTCACCATGAACAAACACAGCACATACAGATGGCACTTGCAAAACATGTAAAATTGTTGACACAAACCATGGTGGAGATGGAAAGTCAGTTTCATGAAATTAGCATTGATCTTATTGTCCTGGACAGTAAAGATTCTGTAGATCCATCGGTGGCAGTCTGAGACACTTGGAGTTGAACAGTATGAGACATATATCACTTAGAGACTTCTGAAATTAATTAATCCTCTCACAGGTTCTATTAACTGACCAACATCCATATTTTCAGCCCTCCTCCAGTCAGAGGTCAAGTCAACAGTTACAATTTATATCCCTGAAGAATGACTGTTCCCTAGTATCCATACTTTACATTGCCTCGCAAGTAAGCTCTGGTGATACAAATGATTTCTTTCAGCGTATAGAAAGACAGAGAACCTCGACACAGAAAGTCACATTTTTTGGCACTGCTTGAAAGAGGTCACCTCTGTTAATGCCAATTCCTCTAGTCCAATAGTGAATAATGTCATTACTGATGGTGCTGTCACTCAACATGCTCTGTCCTGGAGCTGCAAGAACGTTTCACGATTATGCCACTCATGTTTCCAGTCATACATAAAATCATAGTTTCGGCATATAACAATATTAGATATCATCTAAGGTGTGTGTGTGTGTGTGTGTGTGTGTGTGTATAATATATATATATATATATATATATATATATATATATATATATATATATATATATATATATATATATATATATATATATATATATATATATATATATGTGTGTGTGTGTGTCTGTGTGTCTGTGTAAAAGCTTCAAGAATGAAACTCGTACAAAAAAGAGGGAAGGGAAAAGGTGTTTAGAAACGTGTCAAGTCCGGTCCCAAAGAGCTGGCAGGAGTTACTCCGCATTTATGACAACAAAAGAAATTTGCTTTTCTTCCTGGCAGTGATGACTGCAGGACATGGGCACTGTTAAATTATTACCACACACAAAACAATGTTTTTTTTTTTTTTTTTGTGTGTAATTCTCCAAGATGCCGAGGGACTGGCTTCATGTTTTCACTCACATGATACTGTGCGACAACAGTACAGAAAAGTGTAATACGAACAGTTGACACCAATGTTTTCCTGGCAATAATATCTGCCTCTTCAAGGGGGCTCCTTGTCGTGGTGAAGAGGCTCTTGGTCTGAGGAATTAGACCTGTTGGTCTCCTTCCTCAGACCGAACCTAATTATCCCCCAATCCCCCCTTCCCTATCCCATCCTCCCCTATCCCATCCTCCCCATCCTCCCCTTTTTCCTTTCCTCTTTCTCCTCCCCACCCCTCCCTTTTGCCCTTCCTTTTTGGCCTTTGGGGGCTTTTTCCCACAGACACGCTAGTTCCTAGGTAAGGGAAAGGGTACCGGGGTCCACCCCATTCCATTGAGGTTCTTGGCGGTGGCGTAGTTTGCCGTGGAATCTGGATCGCCTGGGGATGTCCCGATCCCTCTCCGGTATCCCGGAGGGTGGCTTTGGGTGTTTTTTGGGCGACGGGTGTATCTCTGGAAGCCACCTTTCAGATTCCGGGGGTGGTGGCCGAAGGAGGTATGCTTTGTGGCAGATATCCGGCCGCCCTCTTTTTTGTCCACCGAGGTAGCTCGGCAACTGTGAGGTTGCTATCCCAGATTGCTGGTTTACTGGCATGAAGGGTAGGGTATGGCACGGGTTCCATGCAGCATCTGCGCTACTT